CAATCATTCCATCGTATGTCATTTTCTTAGGCTGTGTACTTATTCAAGGAATCGATGAGTCATAGGGTAGAAGCAACTTCTACAACAGGAAATGTGACAAATATGCGCAGTCTCGAATATGAATAATGTAAAAATAAACGCATACGTAGTGAAGAATTTCAGGTAACATTAGCTATCTGTTTATGATGATGATGATGAAATAAAACTATTTAACAGATCAAAATCTGATGTGTAAGATCTATGTTTTGATACGTTTGTAAAAATATGGAGTTCTCGTCATGTTTACCTTCGTTTAGTGTGTACAAAGTCTTACGTTCTATCCTAACAATAAAAGCCCTGCGGCCACAATAGGAATGGCATGTCGTGACCATTTGCAGAACGACAATTATTATAGAATTAATCCATCAATCAATTGCAATACCGGGATCTGCCACGCCTACATCCATCTATCTGACGCCGGTAATGATCGGCAATCAATAGCGGTCGATAGTTCACGTCGGTACATTCATCGTGCCACGGTGGATGTGGTTTTATATACAACGGGTAAAAGCGGAGGGTAAAGCTTAAATGCCGGTTAAAACACGACACCGAGGTTAGTGTGAGAACCGATCATTTATTCAGAGGTGTCTTAGAAAAAAAAATGATAGACATGTTTTGATTATAATTAAAAGTAAATAAATATTTTAAGTTTTATTTCTCTATCTTGTTTGAAGTAATTAGAATTGATGTTCACACGGAAAATATTTGTATAACAACGGTATTTTAAGTTTACTTGTACTAACAATATAAGTTTCTGTTTCTGAAAGAGAATTAGGTTTTTTAGACGCACGTTTGTTATGACTCATTGATGTGAATAATTAAACTTCACAGAGTATAAATTATAAGCACTGAAACCATACAAATATTGGTATTATCTTTACTCTGCATGCATTTGCTATAGCCGGAGTAACGCATTAATAACTTCCAGACGATCCGATGCGAGATATCAAAACACGATGAGTAAGATCGAGGTGCAATGTGCTTTTATAAAGTCGAAAATAGCTGAAAAAAAAAAATGAATTTTTAAAGTAAATCACTGAACAATCACAACGGTGGTAGTGCGTTGAACCGACCTAAAATCTTGAAGTGACTTCGACTGACCGTCTAATCGTGATAAACTTAAAAACTACATTTTCAGTCTGGAGTTGTCCATTGCTAGACTTAAAAACTTAAAAACTATTTAACATATTTCATTCATAAGTTTGTAATAATATCCTTCCTTAAAATATACTCTTAAAAAACCTTTAGTCCTTTTCCAACTACTTTTTTTATCCCGTTATAATTCTGAAAGGTTTGATACGTGAACACGTTGTTAGTGTCAAAATTCAGTTAGTCGGACACTGCAGGGAAAAGTGGAAGTGACAGAAAAGATAATTAGGATCATGTTACATGCAATATGTTGAGTTGATTTTGAATCGCGTGCATTCAATTCTTTTATGGACATTTAGGGCATTTTATAAATTCCTTTAGATGCTTTAATAAGGACGCGAAAGGTATTGAAGCTTTCACTTTAACATGTGTTAAATGTTTAATGCGGTACAATTAAATACTTTTAGTAAGCATAAAAAGAACCGCTGAGGAGACTTCTAAATTACTCTATCATTCTATGAAGTCCTGGTACCTGCGACAATGTATGTGTTTGGAATACCAAGTTTTATTTTTGAAGTAGTTATGTACGTAATAGTTTTTATTTCCTTCTCAAATCGTCTTAAATGCACTAAATAAATTATTCATTCTCTTCGCAATTCGTGACATATGCAAATAAGTTTACAATAAAATATTTATTATTCTTGCGGCAAATCTAATCTGCCGCCTTTATTCGTCACCTCAAGTGTTACTGTGGGAGGAATAAATATACCGAATAAGAATAAACTTCGAGCAAATGTTCTTAATAGCGTATTCGTCCTTCCATTCATTGCAATATCATTGGTGGTACGTAGGTGGCTGATTGGTCATACGTTTTATTGTTAATTTAATTACCCTGTCACAAGTGGAAACTCAATGTGTCTGTTAGCTGCAAGAAACGTAATGAACCGTTTACCAATTTAGTTTTATTTAGATAAAGCTATTCTTTAAAGTTTCCTATTACAAAGCCTAGTAAGAATACAATACAAGCCATCTAGTTAACACTTATGTCATTTTTTTGTTTTTTAAGGGCATTATTTTTTCATGATTTTAAAATGTACCAATAGCCAGCTATAGTTAAGTAAATAAATGATGAAAAAATAACTGCGGTAAAAGAAATCTTTTAATTAAATAATTAAAATTCTCTGCATACATACGTAGTACAAGCATCAATCATTACCAGTATATCTGCAACGCGGAATGCAATTGATGTTTACCGATTAGTTACGCTATAATAGTACTAACCATTGTTTACCTTCAATTGTTCATTTAATTATTTTTATTATATTTCAATTGTTTCTGAAAAATAATTAAATTCCTACTTGTATGATCGCAATAAAATACTAGAATACCAAAAATACCAGCAGGTAATTTCAAAGAAATGGTAGTTAAATTTCACGGAACTGTTTTGAATTTAATTTAGGAATTGCAAGCTCAGATTATAGAGAGTAAAATAGTTATTTATTTATCGATGATTTTACTTAAACTTATAATCAAATGTTATGTAAGACTAGCTTTCGCCCGCGCCTCCGTTCGCGCGGAATTAAAACAAACAAAAGTTAGTAGCCTATGTGTTCTTCCAGACTATCCTCTACATCTGTGCCAAATTTCATCGGAATCCGATCAGCCGTTAAGGCTACAAACTCTAACAAACATCCATCCATCCATCCATTCATCTATCCATCCATCCATCCATCCATCCATCCCAACATTCGCATTTATAATATTAGTATGAAGTATGATTTAAGTATACTATTTTATTCATTGTATGGTCTATCAAAAACATACGATGACATAATATTTTAAAGACAAGTACGAGCAGAAGGCCAGTACGGGCTATATCAATACAACAAAAACCAACGCAGTTTTTAATATTAAGCCCCTTACACATCTTTAACCAAACAGTCAAACTGTAGTACTAGGATAGTTATAATTTTGTCTGAACAGTCCCACAGCTAAAAGTGTATAGCGGGCTTTATATTTAAAAAATCTACAGTCGTTTCCTATAAATATTTGTGGATATGTTATACAAAATAAACGGACGCTGTGCTGCGCCAAATAAACAACGCATCCGAAACTAGTTTTACACAAAAATTTTCTCTGAAAATATTATGTGGGTTATAAATTAAAGAACATTTTAAAATGTTAAATGATCACGTTTTAACGCTCTGTTGACATTTTACATTTTCTGTTACATTACCATGTTTAGATTGAAATTTATTTTTAAAACCTACAACATATCAAGCAGGATAAATAGTATGTAGTTTGCAAAAAAAATAATTAAGGAAAAGACAATTATTAAAAAAAAAAACTTATGGATACCCTAATTAATATGAATGAATTTTCCTTGAATCAGTTGACATTGATGAGCGTTTGAAGTCACTAAACGTGACGGTATTTAAGAATGGGATGTGTAAATTTGAAACTTTGTATCGTTTCAACGTATTTTCGGTGGCAGAAAAAACGAAAACCCCTTTTTGTATTGAAAACATTAACTATCGAGAAAAGTCAAAGAAATGGGCGCGAAGCCAAGTGACACGACACTGTTTCAAAATGGCGCAGCGTCCGGTTGTAGGGTTGCCAACCGTTCCAGAATGTACGGGATACCAGGATTATTTTAACTTACAACTCTCCTGACCTACATTTCGCTTGTACAAACTGATTTCTTGATGTTAAAAAACTCATATCTTTCATGTTATTTAAATAAAAAAATACATCGAATAAATCAAACTTGAAATATAAAATGCTTCTAAAATATAAATTAAAAGTAAATTTTTTCCACAAATTTCGATTTAAAACTTATTGTTTTTGTACTGGTTTTACAGATTGTGTCAACCCTAGTTCAGGGCTTTGTGTTGCAATCGGGCTTAATAAAGTAGGTATTGTTATTGACAGGCAATGGCTATGTGGAAAATTTTAACGAAAAACAAATGACTTTTAATAATAATAAAACATTACTTTGAGCTATTTCAGATCATTTTTCAAAGGTTACAAAAGCTCATTTCGTTAAGTTCGCCAAATCTTACTTCTATATCGTATTTTACTCTATTGAGCTATCTACGTTTTTATTTTATCTTGCAAATGACCGTCTTGGCATCTAGCCTTTGGTCATGGATCTTTGGGCAATTTGCAAGCTGTCACATTCTCCTGTAAAATAGAATAACCGCGTGAAATTGTGTAAGGCGAGTTTGTTAAACATTTTAAAATATAGTCGTCTCAGTGCTATATCCACATTTAATCTGTTTCATTTAATACTGTTATGAAGTCAATAAAGGGTCTTTCTCAGGCACCTAAAGGCACATAATCGCAATATCTTCAAACTGTTGTAACTTAAAATATTTAAACGTCGTTTGATCTGATGCGGATTCCTATGTTTATCTAAGCCGTCAAAACAGACCTATTATATTGTAGCTACTATAACGAGCGTGTTGTTTGGCTGTGTGCCAATTGGTACATTTGACGGCAACCGCCGGAATGATTCCGGTTCACGGCTCGTCTACACCGGACCGAAGCTTCAAGCATTGGTATTGAGGTTGTGTCAGATGTACTACACGTTCTTGCATTAATGCGTCCAGGAAACATGCTTCGTGTGGCTCGTTGCGGGTAATTAATCTCGCGTCTTAGATTCAGTTTTAGAATTAGGACTCGGGTCATAGCTTCAGAAGTCTTAATATCGGCCGTATATCTCCAACTTGCGACTAAACTCACAATGTATGCACATAAGTTTTCGTAGGAATCTGGCAATCTTCGGCTAACAAAGAAAAATTTTTAATGAAAACGAAACGATTTCATGTTAAAAAAAAAGGCTTATTTATGATTTTTCTTTTCTTTTGCAGTTCAACTTCGTGGGAAGGATCCTAGGACCCAGGGGTATGACCGCCAAGCAGTTGGAACAGGAAACGGGATGCAAAATCATGGTCAGAGGAAAAGGATCCATGAGAGATAAGAAAAAGGTAAACCGACTCGATAACATTCTTTGTTCCCGTCTTATTTTGCTTGTTTAAATAGTTTGTGCAATCTTCGATTATCGTAACAGATATGTTTGTGTACTAATAACTTTTAATATTTTTCATGCAGCTTTGGATTTGCTGCAGAAAGGATTGTAAACCTTATTTTATTAATTAATGTTGGTAATCAATTTCTTATTTGAAATTTTCTTGTATATCACCATACATGATAAATTATTAAAATTAAACGTTTAATAACAGATGTGCCTTCAAAAACTTGAAATTAAAATTGCCAGTGGTTCCCAAAAATAGACTATACTTTGAGAGACGCTGGGCTATACATTGGGCTTTACACCATTTAACAAAAAAAAAACCCAAATCATTGGACCAATTTGACTATTTAAGTGTAATTTAAAAACCAAGATGTAAATATTAGTAATTAATCAGATTCCGTAATAGTTCCGATAGTTTATAATTCTCAAATAATACATGGAAATTCACTTCTTAATCTTATTCTTCGTTCTAATTCCAGGAGGACGCGAACCGCGGCAAACCGAACTGGGAGCACCTGGCCGATGACCTGCATGTGCTGCTCACAGTCGAGGACACCGAGAACAGGGCGAAGATCAAACTCGCTAGGGCTGTCGACGAAGTCAAACGTCTGCTTGTACCTGTAAGAGAAACGTCATATTATTATCTACGTAAAGTCTTGATTAAACTCTGAATTACAATTTTAGATAACAACTGCCCCTTAATGCGTGGTTTTTAATAATAATCTATAATAATACTTTTCATACAAAAGTTATAAATGCGAAAGTTTAGATGGATGGATGAATGTTTGTTAGAGTTAGCCTAAACGGCTGAATGGATCTCGATGAAATTTGGCATAGATGTAGAGAATAGTCTGGAAGAACACATAGGCTACATGCATTTGTTTTTTAATTCTGTGCGGACGGAGTCGCGGGCGATAGCAAGTCCATAATAAATTATAAAGAAGCATTTAACATAAAGCTAAATACATCTATGTTAACATCAAAATTAATTATTTATTTATCAAAGCATTAAAATAATGAGGAAGAAGTAAAGGTAAAGTAATCTTCAAAGATAGAGTAGACTCGAACCTTTTTAGAAACGTATATAAGTTCACCATGATACTGTTATTGCAAGTCCAATAGTAATTCTAGTAAATGTTTTTCAGCAAGCGGACGGTGAAGACGAGCTGAAGAAGCGTCAACTGATGGAGCTAGCCATCATCAATGGAACATACCGCGACTCAAGCGCGAAGGCCGTCGTGCCCGTCAACGGTCAGTGCCTCATAAGTATGCACACCTTTATGTTTTGTCACTAACAAATTACATTAAGTAACTAAGATCTATTTTTCACTAGCGCGACAAGTAACATGCGACTGCTTTCAACCATATGGATCATTGGCAATGGCACAACCGTTGCCAAAGCTGCAGTCACATGGCCAATCGCCTAGTAAAAAAGGGCTCTAAGAACTAACCACAATCATTAATTAATGTTATGAAAAAGTATTAAAACAAACTCTTATATTTGTCTGATTATTGAATGAAGTAGTAATAAATATGAATATTTTATCATAACATTCTTCATTTGATTTTTCATAGATTTGTAAATAAATTTGACATTTTAAGACCTCTTTCTCATCTAAAAAATACATACTTCCTTCTTCGAGATTATCTACAAAGATTCAGTGACCACTTTAGGAAACATTTTGTTTATTATCACATCGCCTTTGGGTTTGTTCTCTGAGTTTGTGACTATTTTTAACAGGTCTGAGTCATGTCGGGGACCGTTAAGATGACTAACTAAATTGATTTGTGGCTTGTTACGGTTATTAATTATTAACACGGGTGACTTCATTCCTTAGTGGCACCTTGTTATTATGTGTCCCTTCGATCGACACACACCCAGTGTACATACATACTAACGATGATTTGAAAAGCTGGACAGCAATAAAAATATAGATTTTGTTTTTCTTGGATTTAGTTCATTTTATTCATTTGTTAAAGTAGTTAGTAACATGGTTCTTCTTGAAACCGTATTATGAATGTGGTTTATCATTTACTTACATATTATGGGAAGAGGACAGTCTTAGTTTTTATTCTATAAACTAGCTTTCGCCCGCGACTCCGTCTGCATAGAATTAAAAAAAAGTGAGTAGCCTATGTGTTCTTTCAGACTATCCTCTACATCTATACCAAATTTCATCGAAATCCGTTCAGCCGTTTAGTCTACATCCATCCATCCATCTAATCTTTCGCATTTATAATATTAGTATGATTGTGTAATAAGAAATATTTTGCAACAAATCCCACATTGCTGATACGTTCAAGGTGACTTCACAGCGGACGAGGATTGGCGTCGCGTGGCTGCGGCGGC